GTGCAGTAGGAGATCTTGGAAAATGCTAACTTTAGCCTGATAGCACTGAAAGCGAACGTCCCTCCTCGCGCCCTCCTGCTCTGCACATTTCATATGTACTGTATCTCTTATCACATGCGACGTTTGTTCTATTCGACCGTGAGTGCCCTGGGAAGTGTACATCACTGGATATTCTGCCATGATTCCAGTTCGAAGCAAGCGTATATGTTACATACAAAGGGCATTAAAGTGTGCGAGACGTGAATTTAAATAGTATTTATTTACAGAGGTATATTATGTCACACCTCTCTAGTAAGTTTCGTCTGTGTGTGAAGATGCTAATCTGTGAATGAATGTTCCGAAGTGAAGTAAACTTCAAGCTTCCCTTGCTGGCTACATCATGTGTCATTCACCGGTGAGAAATCTTTATAGTACAGTTAGTAAAAGTACTACAATACCAGGAAGGAAGATCGGGTTGTTGATGTTTGTCTGCCATTCTCGCTCTGTCTGCTCTGCACAGCGTGCGTGAACGCTCGGACCGAGCGTTTTGATTGGACGAACATTTCTTGGTCCTACGCCTTCCACAGAATATATAAATACAGATAAATACATTTAGACCACTTAACTTAATGATTGCTATCGGGATGTGAAGAGACGTTCAACCGGCATAACAAAAAATATTTCTGAAGACAATCACCTATTGCACCTTTAAAGTATTACCGTAATTAATAAATTCTGTAGTTTTAATACATATTGTATACTAGGTTTTAACAGTGGAGATATTTTCTATCGAGGGACAAAACTTATTATTATTTATCTCCATCAGCTGAAGCTATTTTTAATGATTGGACTTGTTTGAGCATATATAGCTAGTTCAATATGTCTAGTTTAGTCATATTTTAAAACATTTTTTTTTTTTTTTGTTAGCATGCCTCATATTGAGCAGGGTAAAACACTGGTTGAATCTTTTTTAGAAAGAAAAAACTTAAAAAATCTAAACTTTAACTTTATATTTTAGGTTGAAATTTAAAAAAGAACCAAACTATTCTACCAAATGTTTATTTAAAATTTAAAGTAACATGCTTTGAAATCACAAAAAATGTTTCTGAAGACAATCACCTATTGCACCTTTAAAGTATTACCATAATTAATAAATTCTGTAGTTTTAATACATATTGTATACTAGGTTTTAGCAGTGGAGATATTTTCTATCGAGGGACAAAACTTATTATTATTTAACTCCATCAGCTGAAGCTATTTTTAATGATTGGACTTGTTTGAGCATATATAGCTAGTTCAATATGTCTAGTTTAGTCATATTTTAAAACATTTTTTTTTTTTTTTGTTAGCATGCCTCATATTGAGCAGGGTAAAACACTGGTTGAATCTTTTTTAGAAAGAAGAAACTTAAAAAATCTAAACTTTAACTTTATACTTTAGGTTGAAATTTAAAAAAGAACCAAACTATTCTACCAAATGTTTATTTAAAATTTAAAGTAACATGCTTTGAAATCATTATTAACGCGGACAAACATTCACAAAAGTTTTCTACACTCTCTCACCCTCTCTGTATCTCTGCATCTCTGCCGGTGCGTGCATCTCTCTCTGTCTGTCTGTCTGTCTGTGTGTGTGTGTCTGTGAGTGTGTGTGAGTGAGTGAGTGAGTGTGTGTGTGTGTGTGTGTGTGTCTGTGTCTGTGTCTGTGTGTGTGATCCACTGGTGCCTGATATAGTTTTTCAATTATTTTTTATATGTATGCGGCATCGCAGGTCATGAGATCTATATATTCAGACAACCCCAGACGTACCTTAATATTTGTCGCCTCATTTCCAATTTTCTCCATATTGGGAACTGGTATATCTCTAAAATAAACATGCAAAACATTGCGACCACCTGGAATCTCTCTCATGCGCCTTAGGTCACAGTGGGGCTCCACGTCTCTCCAACATCCGCTCAGCTATAGACACACAGAAGCCTTATCATCAATTTTAAGCCAAAGTAAACATGCAAAACGCAGCGACTGCAGGGAGCCCCCCTCTCTCACGAGCATTGAATTACATATGGCTTTCCCAGTCTGCGACTTAAAACACCGTGTCTGTGTCTGTGTGTGTGTGATCCACTGGTGCCTGATATAGTTTTTCAATTATTTTTTATATATATGCGGCATCGCAGGTCATGAGATCTATATATTCAGACAACCCCAGACGTACCTTAATATTTGTCGCCTCATTTCCAATTTTCTCCATATTGGGAACTGGTATATCTCTAAAATAAACATGCAAAACATTGCGACCACCTGGAATCTCTCTCATGCGCCTTAGGTCACAGTGGGGCTCCACGTCTCTCCAACATCCGCTCAGCTATAGACACACAGAAGCCTTATCATCAATTTTAAGCCAAAGTAAACATGCAAAACGCAGCGACTGCAGGGAGCCCCCCTCTCTCACGAGCATTGAATTACATATGGCTTTCCCAGTCTGCGACTTAAAACACCAGACTTCTTATGGTCAACATATTGACCAGGGTAAAATCTTAAAGTAAAGAGATCCCCTCTCAGCCTGCGTGTGTGTGTGTGTGTGTGTGTGTGTGTGTGTGTGTGTGTGTGTGTGTGTGTTTTCTCTCTCCTTTTCTTTCTGTTCACAGTTATGTAGATCACGAGAAAACAACTTATGTAGAGATCTTGAGAAATAAAAAAATAATAATGCTGCATGCTTTTAGGACTTTCGTAAGACAGGGAATCTATGCATTTTTCCAGAGTGCAGGCATAAACGTATGGAAACACTGTACTCAAACATTTTTGTTGTGAATAGCCTACTAGCCTTAAGAACATTTTTAACAGATGATAGGCTAAGGTCAGATAAATGACAAATAAAAGGTGTATGTAAAATATAGGCTATATTGCTATTGCTATATAATTGTGACAAAATTACCAATAAAAGAAATGGTCAAAATAAAGATCATTCATTAGCCTATACTATGAGCAAAGAAATTACTTTATGATCTTTAATATGTTGAGCAGGGGCACCTTAAGATAACCAGAGGCCCCTGGGCTATTTTTTTTTTAAGCTTCTTGACAATTATTTATGTTGAATTTTAATTTTTTCTTGTTGACATGCCAGTTAAGTGAATATGCAAGTAAGTGTAAGTGAATATGCAAATTCATTTTTTGTCAGAAGGTGGCGCTTGTGGAGCAGCAGAATTATAGCCTTTACATAAGGAGGTAATAGCAAAAGAAAATGCCATCAAAACTTTCCTGGCCGAAATGTGAGTTTAACAGGTATGATTACACAAAATATTCATTATTCAACATTACTAGATCGAAACCATCTCTTGGCAAGTTGGCGTAAATGTGGGCTATTTGGTGGTTGCTACCTGCGTTTAATTAATTAAATCATAGCATAAAGACACGCACACAGAGTAGCACTCATACTAGGCTTCTTTACTAGCGCATTGTGCATCCGCTCACAGTATATCGGTGGAACATACCAACTATACACATTGTGTGGGGGAAACCTAAACTGAACCATTCACTAAGCATTCACAGGGCATCACTGAAAATACGTGTGTGAGTTTGTTTACAGAATGCTGATTATAGCCTTTACATAAAGTAAACACCACGTTATTACAGGCATTATAAGGAGGTAATAGCAAAAGAAAATGCCATCAAAACTTTCCTGGCCGAAAATGTGAGTTTACAGGTATGATTACACAAAATATTCATTATTCAACATTACTAGATCGAAACCATCTCTTGGCAAGTTGGCGTAAATGTGGGCTATTTGGTGGTTGCTACCTGCGTTTAATTAATTAAATCATAGCATAAAGACACGCACACAGAGTAGCACTCATACTAGGCTTCTTTACTAGCGCATTGTGCATCCGCTCACAGTATATCGGTGGAACATACCAACTATACACATTGTGTGGGGGAAACCTAAACTGAACCATTCACTAAGCATTCACAGGGCATCACTGAAAATACGTGTGTGAGTTTGTTTACAGAATGCAGACCTGATCTCATGCTTTCATGAGTAGCCTACTGAAGAGTCACCTAAGAAGGGAATTCCCCCCATTTTCAAAAAAGGCCCTAAATGAATGTCTGTAAAAAATCCTGATTGGAACATCACTATAAATAATTTTACATAATAAAAAGAAGGCTTCAAAAATTAAGCGTTAGCGTTAGTTCTGGCAGGTCACGTGAGTCAAGCTTGCATCAGCTGATTCTCAGCTGATCACATCTACCTATAGGAATACGACACCTATCGCAGCATTCCTATATAAGCTCTATTCAGTATTATTCAGCAGCTTTTCAGCTTGCTCCGGAGCAAATTACCCTCCTCCATCCCCAGCTCCTCCTTTCGCCACAGTCAGGACTTGGCTTTCTGATATTCCTTGCTAATCAGACTCCTTTATCTTGAATAAAGTGTTACACTTAAATATCCTTAAAGTACATTAATGATATCTGCCTTGTTCTGTTCTGTTAACCCTATTGGGGGCTATTATTGCTGCTCTCCCTGCTCATTCATGACAGGCTGCATGGATGGGCAGGGAGGTTTTTGCCCAGAAATGACTGTTGTCGGTTTCTGCACATACAAATCTGTAACATATTCTAAAATATAAAATATTCTAATGACTTTATTGCAGTGAATGAACTTATTAGAATATCAAACTATATTTAGATTCATATGGACATAGTATGCTGCTGTAGCCTAGTTATTTAGCTGTAGTGGTTGATGAAGATGAGTGTCAGTAGTGTTTGTTTTTGTAATATTTATGTCATATCGAAGCCTCTGTGCTGAACGTCACATCACTAGTTTTTCCCACCATTATTTATATTTGGAAGAATTTCATTACAGTATTTATATTCTGTCATCAAATGGTATAAAAACAAACTCAGTAACTGTTATATTTTTGATTTTGGTAGATCAGTTCCTCCCACTGAAATTACATCATCAATGAAGCTCCTCCCACATCGCTCACGTCCTCAGTGAAGCTCCGCCCCAGCAGTTCCCCAATAAATGCTGGAATATTCCCATCAGTTTACAAGTGCAGACGAGCATCAATGCATCAGGAAGAGCTGAAATCTGCAAAGACTGAGTTTATTAAAGAGGACAGAGAGAAGATGAGAGATCCAGAACCCTGCAGAATCAAACACACTGAAGAACTAACAGGTTGGGCATTATTCTTCATTCATTGATTTTCATTTATCACATTTTTTTATATATTTTTTTGGCTTTCATCAAATGGTCAGTAAAGGGAGGTTTGAGAAATGTTCATATTGATTGTCAACATCAGGTCAAACTATTATTTTAGCATTTTTATTTTCCATTTATTTATATCTGGTTTAGTATTTTTTTGCAACCATGTTACCAAAATGTTGAACATTCTCTCATTTTGTTTAGCAATAAACAGTAAACAGTTAAATGAATCAAGTAATGACTTCAGCAAAATCTGATATACAGTTACAGATAAAGATGTATTTCTCATGAATTAAATCTGTTTTTCATAGTTATAGAGATGATTCTTCTTACAGTAACTTTGCTAACAGGGTTGATGAATGTGATTACTGTACAGTTTGTGTAAAAACTGAGACAATGGATTGAGATTTCCTTCCATCATGCTGTAAAAAGAGCCCAGGAGATGTCACTTCCTCTGTGTCACATTTTTTAGAAATGCTTCATTTTTTTAAGGAGGAAAATCATGTCATGAGTAACAGTGTAAGGCTGAAATAACCCCAGATACTTTGATGTCCTGAGATACAGACAATACAAACACACACAGACATCTGTTTCCACAGCCCACAGAGTGAAGATGCGGGAAAGCTGTTTCCCTTCTGTCCTTCCTTCACATTTCTTTCTTCTCCCCCACTTCAGTCATCATTCCCTCCATTCATTTCACTCAGAATGATCAGATGAAAATATAATGTTCTGTCAATGCATGTGAATTCACAATCATGTTTGGTATCGTTAGAAAAGTGTGACTGGTACAATGCTATTGTGTCCAGAGGAACAGACCAGGAATGTAATATACGTTAGAGAGTTTAGAGATGCTTTGTCTGCTGCAGATGGTGTGTCTTTTCCCACAGTCTCCATCTAAATGACCTCCTGTTCCTCAACGAGGTGTGAACTCCCAGAGTTTATGATCCCAGTCAATGCAAACTCCAGATGTTATGTCATGCCTCCATTTGGAGAACGTTTATCCTAGTCACACTGACCATAAATCATTAGAAAGGTCTAGAGATTCAAAATATTATATTGTTATGACAAAAATCTGTAACAGTAATTTCTTAATTTTTGTCAGGAGGTCTGCAAAATCAAAAACGGAGTCCATGTAAAGTATATTTATAATGCCGTGCTAATCGATATAGCCTTTATTACAGTAGACTGTCATTTTCAACCTCATTCTGCAATAAGAAGCCACATCAGATCACAAAAGGGAGTTATTTCAGACTCTCAACTGACATTATGAAATGAGTTTAGAGTAAAAACTTGTTAAATGTTCTTTTGTTGCATTACAAGCTAGACAAAATTACAAAAATAATAGCAAGCATGAGGTGGCATACTTCATAGTAATAGCCAAAAGCTATAACTAAGTAGTTGTATAGGTTTCTGTAGGAGAGTAAGTGGAACTACTATTTCAATCATAGCGAGCATGAGCTGCCTATTAAATAACATTAGCCATAACCTCTGACTAATAATCAGACTGACGAGTGAGATCCACGTAAAATATAAAGTAAAGAATTAAATAGAATAAGCAAATTGCCACTGAAACTTGAACTGGAACGCACGCTCACATGCGTATGAATGGGAGTCACTGGAATGAAAAGTCTAGTGTGACCAGCCCTTAATAATTCAAAAATGTTTTAGTAAATTAATTAAATATCAATCTAAAAGTTGGCATCAACATTATGGCACTATCGTATATGTTTAATGTTAATATTACATTAGATAATTTTTGTTATTGATCAAATATATTTAGTAGTTCTTACTTTAAAAAGAATAATTTAAAGATCAATGTAACTAATTTACGGAAAGTTTCAGGGATGTATAATTAATTTATAAAAAGGCATCAAAATGACTGTAATATTTTATAGCAGTTGTCTACTTTAGGCTATTTCATCAGGGCTCACTTGTATGTCCTTTTAGTTTATTTTCCTGTTTTTGAATTATTTACTGAATATTTACTGAAAATTAATGTAAACATTTTTTTTTTCTTTAATTTCAGAGCTGATGGAAGAGAGCGAGGAGAGTGAAGAACTGAGTGAAGTGGAGGAGAAACATCATGACAAACCTGGAGAAAAACCCTTGAGTGGCTCAAAGACTAAAAATACATTTTTAAAGAAAAGAAGAGCCAAGAAATCATTCACCTGCACTCAGTGTGGAAAGAGTTTCACATACAAAAATAATCTTGAAGTTCACATGAGAGTTCACACTGGAGAGAAGCCGTTCACATGCGATCAGTGCGAGAAGAGTTTCACACAGAAACCACATCTTACGGGGCACATGAGGATCCACACGGGAGAGAAGCCGCACGTATGTGATCAGTGCGGGAAGAGTTTCACATACAAAAATAATCTTGAAGTTCACATGAGAGTTCACACTGGAGAGAAACCGTTCACATGCGATCAGTGCGGAAAGAGTTTCTCGCAATCAGCAAGCCTTAAAGAACACATGAAAATCCACACCGGAGAGAAGCAATTCATGTGTGATCAGTGTGAAAAGAGATTCTCAAACAAGAGATGTCTTGAGCTTCACGTGAGAGTTCATGCTGGCCAGAAACCGTTCACATGTGATGAGTGTGGAAAGAGATTCAAGTGCCAAAATAATCTTGAGGTTCACATGAGAATCCACGCTGGAGAGAAGCCATTCACCTGCTCTCAGTGTGGAAAGAGTTTCACATACAAACAACATCTTGATGCTCACATGAGAGTTCACACTGGAGAGAAACCGTTCACATGTGATCAGTGCGGGAAGAGCTTCACACAGAAAATACACCTTAAGAGCCACATGAAGATCCACACTGGAGAGAAGCCTCACGCATGCGATCAATGTGGGAAGAGCTTCACACAATCAGCACAACTCAAGAGACACATGAGGGTCCACACCGGAGAGAAGCCGTTCACATGTGATCAATGCGGGAAGAGTTTCCCATATAAACAATGTCTTGATGTTCACATGAGGATCCACACCGGAGAGAAACCATTCATGTGTGATCAGTGTGAAAAGAGCTTCTCAAGCAAACAACATCTTGATCTTCACATGAGAGTTCACACTGGAGAGAAGCCGTTCACATGTGATCAGTGCGGGAAGAGCTTCACACAGAAACCACATCTTACGGGGCACATGAGGATCCACACGGGAGAGAAGCCGCACGTATGTGATCAGTGCGGGAAGAGTTTCACACAATCAACACACCTTAAAGAACACATGAAAATCCACACCGGAGAGAAATCATTCATGTGTGATCAGTGTGAAAAGAGATTCCCACACAACTATGATCTTACTGTTCACATGAGGATCCACATCGGAGAGAAGCCGTTCACATGTGATCAGTGCGGCAAAACATTTCTTGTGGCATCAGCCCTGAAGACACACCTGACAGTTCATACGAAGGAGAAGCCGCATTCATGTTCTGTATGTGGAAAGAGTTTTTCACTGCTGCAAAGTTTAAAAGGACATCAGAAAATACATACTGGTGAAAAATCTTATATGTGCTTTGAGTGCAAGAAGACTTTTACTTCAGCAAACTGTTTAAAATTGCACCAGAGGATTCACACTGGAGAGAAACCCTACAAGTGTTCACACTGTTGCAAGAGATTCAATCAGTCAGCAAATCTGAGAACGCATGAGAGGATCCACAACAGAGAGAAGCTGCAGACGTGTGATCAGTGCGGAAAGAGTTTTGCATTTAAAAGTCACCTGAAGATACACATGAGGATCCATGCAGTGGAGAAACCAGATCAGCGCAGTCTGAGATCACGGTAAGTAGTTCATCTTTATGTGCTGAGCAACAAATTCTCTTCTGTGTAAGTTAGGATATTAATAACTTGACATCTCAGTAATGAGAAACTGTCTCATACTAATGAGATACTTTCTCATAAGTGAGTGAAGTGACATGTGGCCAAGTATGGTGACCCATACTAGGAATTAGTGCTCTGCATTTAACCCATCCAAAGTGCACACACACAGCAGTGAACACACACACACCGTGAACACACACCCGGAGCAGTGGGCAGCCATTTTTTGCTGCGGCGCCCGGGGAGCAGTTGGGGGTTCGGTGCCTTGCTCAAGGGCACCTCAGTCGTGGTATTGAAGGTGGGAGAGAGCGCTGTACATTCACTCCCCCCACTTACAATCCCTGCCGGTACGAGACTCGAACCTGCAACCTTTGGGTTACAAGTCTGACTCTCTAACCATTAGGCCACAACTTCCCCAATAAAATATTGACTCTTAACGAGATGCTTGATAGTAATAATGAGATCATTTTTTGTAATAATGAGATACTTGCAATAATAATACTTTCTTGTAATAATGAGATACTTTCTCATAATAATGAGAAACTTTCTTGTAACAACGACTTAATCTGTGCATGCACAGTGCAGACATGAAGGCATGCTAGAGACATCTGCTGGTCAAAGCCGTGTAAATACATGCTAAACCCTGCAAATATCACACATTATGTAAAACAGTTGTTTTCATCAATGTGTATTCTAGTGTAATCTATATAAACAAGTAACTATTAAAAATGATATTTTATAGCACTGATATTTATAGCATGATATTTTGTATCAAGTCCCCACAATTTTTCTCTGGCCCAGCTCTGGCCCACACAACCAGCTTTTGCTTGGCCCACATATCGCAATGTATTACGGTACTAGTGTGGACCAGGTCTGGATTCCAGACAAGGGCCACACATGGGCCAT